TCCCTCTCTCGGTCCGGCTGCCGCTATGTCTCTCCGGGTGCTGAGCTAAGATGGCGGCGGGCGATGCTGCTGCGGAGACGGTATCTGTGTGTGTGAGAGGACCGCAGCTACAAACCCCGCCCCCCGCAACGCAGCCACACCCCCTCTGTGCCCCGCCCACATTCTGCGCTCTGTCGCCGTCTGATTGGCTGTCACTGGAACGCATGTAACCCCGCCCCCTGAGTGTGTCCCGCCCCCTGCCAGAGGGAGAAAGAGAGAGAATATTAACCCATTAATGGCGGGAACTGAGTAACCCAGACACAGAGAGAGAGAATATTAACCCATTAATGGCGGGAACTGAGTAACCCAGACACAGAGAGAGAATATTAACCCATTAATGGCGGGAACTGAGTAACCCAGACACAGAGAGAGAGAATATTAACCCATTAATGGCGGGAACTGAGTAACCCAGACACAGAGAGAGAATATTAACCCATTAATGGTGGGAACTGAGTAACCCAGACACAGAGAGAGAATATTAACCCATTAATGGCGGGAACTGAGTAACCCAGACAGAGAGAGAATATTAACCCATTAATGGCGGGAACTGAGTAACCCAGACACAGAGAGAGAATATTAACCCATTAATGGCGGGAACTGAGTAACCCAGACACAGAGAAAGAGAATATTAACCCATTAATGGCGGGAACTGAGTAACCCAGACACACATAGAGAGAATATTAACCCATTAATGGCGGGAACTGAGTAACCCAGACACAGAGAGAGAATATTAACCCATTAATGGCGGGAACTGAATAACCCAGACACAGAGAGAGAGATATTAACCCATTAATGGCGGGAACTGAGTAACCCAGACACAGAGAGAGAATATTAACCCATTAATGGCGGGAACTGAGTAACCCAGACACAGAGAGAGAGAATATTAACCCATTAATGGCGGGAACTGAGTAACCCAGACACAGAGAGAGAATATTAACCCATTAATGGCGGGAACTGAGTAACCCAGACACAGAGAGAGAGAATATTAACCCATTAATGGCGGGAACTGAGTAAAACGACAGAGAGAGAATATTAACCCATTAATGGCGGAACCGAGCAACCCAGACACAGAGAGAGAATAATATTAACCCATTAATGGCGGAACTGAGTAACCCAGACACAGAGAGAGAGGTTAACCCATTAATGGCGGAACTGAGTAACCCAGACACAGAGAGAGAATACAACCCATTGAATGGCAGTGGAACCGAGCAACCCATCAATACAAAGAAAGAGAATATTAACCCATTAATGAAGGAACTGAATAACCCAGACACAGAGAGAGAATTATTAACCCATTAATGCATGGAACCGAGTGAACCCGCATCACAGAGAGAATATTAACCCATTAATGGCGGAACCGAGCAACCCAGACACAGAGAGAGAATACAACCCATTAATGGCGGAACCGAGCAACCCAGACACAGAGAGAGAATATTAACCCATTAATGGCGGGAACTGAGTAACCCAGACACAGAGAGAGAGAATATTAACCCATTAATGGCGGGAACTGAGTAACCCAGACACAGAGAGAGAGAATATTAACCCATTAATGGCGGGAACTGAGTAACCCAGACACAGAGAGAGAATATTAACCCATTAATGGCGGGAACTGAGTAACCCAGACACAGAGAGAGAATATTAACCCATTAATGGCGGGAACTGAATAACCCAGACACAGAGAGAGAGAGAGAGAGAATATTAACCCATTAATGGCGGGAACTGAGTAACCCAGACACAGAGAGAGAGAATATTAACCCATTAATGGCGGGAACCGAGTAACCCAGACACAGAGAGAGAATATTAACCCATTAATGGCAGGAACTGAGTAACCCAGACACAGAGAGAGAATATTAACCCATTAATGGCGGGAACTGAGTAACCCAGACACAGAGAGAGAATATTAACCCATTAATGGCGGGAACTGAGTAACCCAGACACAGAGAGAGAATAGTAACCCATTAATGACGGGAACTGAGTAACCCAGACACAGAGAGAGAGAATAGTAACCCATTAATGGCGGGAACTGAGTAACCCAGACACAGAGAGAGAATATTAACCCATTAATGGCGGGAACTGAGTAACCCAGACACATAGAGAGAATATTAACCCATTAATGGCGGGAACTGAATAACCCAGACACAGAGAGAGAGAGAGAGAGAGAATATTAACCCATTAATGGCGGGAACTGAGTAACCCAGACACAGAGAGAGAGAATATTAACCCATTAACAGGGAAACTGAGTAAACCCAGACACAGAGAGAGAACATTAACCCATTAATGGCGGAACTGACTAACCCAGACAACAGAGAGAGAGAACATTAACCCACAATGGAACCGAGTAAACCCAGCATTACCAGAGAGAGAACATTAACCCACACGGCAGGAACCGAGGAACCCAGACACAGAGAAAGAGAATATTAACCATTAATGATGGAACTGAATAACCCAGACACAGAGAGAGAATACAACAATTAATGGCAGGAACTGAGTAACCCAGACACAGAGAGAGAATATTAACCCATTAATGGCGGGAACTGAGTAACCCAGACACAGAGAGAGAGAATATTAACCCATTAATGGCGGGAACTGAGTAACCCAGACACAGAGAGAGAATATTAACCCATTAATGGCGGGAACTGAGTAACCCAGACACAGAGAGAGAATATTAACCCATTAATGGCGGGAACTGAGTAACCCAGACACAGAGAGAGAATATTAACCCATTAATGGCGGGAACTGAGTAACCCAGACACAGAGAGAGAATATTAACCCATTAATGGCGGGAACTGAGTAACCCAGACACAGAGAGAGAGAATATTAACCCATTAATGGCGGGAACTGAGTAACCCAGACACAGAGAGAGAATATTAACCCATTAATGGCGGGAACTGAGTAACCCAGACACAGAGAGAGAGAATATTAACCCATTAATGGCGGGAACTGAGTAACCCAGACACAGAGAGAGAATATTAACCCATTAATGGCGGGAACTGAGTAACCCAGACACAGAGAGAGAATATTAACCCATTAATGGCGGGAACTGAGTAACCCAGACACAGAGAGAGAGAATATTAACCCATTAATGGCGGGAACTGAGTAACCCAGACACAGAGAGAGAATATTAACCCATTAATGGCGGGAACTGAGTAACCCAGACACAGAGAGAGAATATTAACCCATTAATGGCGGGAACTGAGTAACCCAGACACAGAGAGAGAATATTAACCCATTAATGGCGGGAACTGAGTAACCCAGACACAGAGAGAGAATATTAACCCATTAATGGCGGGAACTGAGTAACCCAGACACAGAGAGAGAATATTAACCCATTAATGGCGGGAACTGAGTAACCCAGACACAGAGAGAGAATATTAACCCATTAATGGCGGGAACTGAGTAACCCAGACACAGAGAGAGAATATTAACCCATTAATGGCGGGAACTGAGTAACCCAGACACAGAGAGAGAGAATATTAACCCATTAATGGCGGGAACTGAGTAACCCAGACACAGAGAGAGAATATTAACCCATTAATGGCGGGAACTGAGTAACCCAGACACAGAGAGAGAATATTAACCCATTAATGGCGGGAACTGAGTAACCCAGACACAGAGAGAGAGAATATTAACCCATTAATGGCGGGAACTGAGTAACCCAGACACAGAGAGAGAATATTAACCCATTAATGGCGGGAACTGAGTAACCCAGACACAGAGAGAGAGAATAGTAACCCATTAATGGCGGGAACTGAGTAACCCAGACACAGAGAGAGAATATTAACCCATTAATGGCGGGAACTGAGTAACCCAGACACATAGAGAGAATATTAACCCATTAATGGCGGGAACTGAATAACCCAGACACAGAGAGAGAGAGAGAGAGAGAATATTAACCCATTAATGGCGGGAACTGAGTAACCCAGACACAGAGAGAGAGAATATTAACCCATTAATGGCGGGAACTGAGTAACCCAGACACAGAGAGAGAATATTAACCCATTAATGGCGGGAACTGACTAACCCAGACACAGACACAGAGAGAGAGAATATTAACCCATTAATGGCGGGAACTGAGTAACCCAGACACAGAGAGAGAGAATATTAACCCATTAATGGCAGGAACTGAGTAACCCAGACACAGAGAAAGAGAATATTAACCCATTAATGGACACAGAGAGAGAATATTAACCCATTAATGGCGGGAACTGATAACCCAGACACAGAGAGAGAACAATTACACCCATTAATGGCGGGAACTGAGTAACCCAGACACAGAGAGAGAATATTAACCCATTAAGGAACTGAGTAACCCAGGAGAGAGAATATTAACCCATTAATGGCGGGAACTGATATTAACCCATTAATGGCGGGAACTGAATAACCCAGACACAGAGAGAGAATATTAACCCATTAATGGCAGGAACTGAGTAACCCAGACACAAGAGAGAGAATATTAACCCATTAATGGCGGGAACTGAATAACCCAGACACAGAGAGAGAATA